CTCCTTCACACTTGGTGATGGATACCATGCATGTTTAGTCTGAGTTCAAACATTGATTGGGCTAGTTAGTAGTACTCTAGCATTCTGCTTCGCTAGTTTCAACTACGTGAATGAGGTCAGTCCTGTCAGTTCAGTCTTTGTATCAAAGTCTTCCCTGCGCTATTCAGCACTTTTTCGTATGTATGAGAATGCACATTGTCTGTCGAAATTCTACTCGCACTGTATTGTCCATTCAGTCCTTTTCATCACATTGCAGTTCCTCGGATATTACGTACATTGCATATCAATGCATGTAACACTTATTTCCGTTCGGCATTGCTGCAGCGCATGGCATCAGACATAATCTAAGGGCAGGTATTTTTCGCTCCCAGGAGACTGTCAATCGACGCATCTAGCCTACCCCACCGACCAGAATCTGATATTCCATGATCATCACGGACAGAGGAGGAGCTGGTCATGATTCATGTAGAGGTCGCTGACTTTTTTTTTTGGAAAAAACGGGGAGGAGCAAAAAAAAATAAAAATAATAAGGGAGAATCTGGAAACCACGCATCAACCCACCAGAATCCGATATTCCATCTTCATCAAGGACAGGGAATGTTACATCTTCGATGCCACACGGTTCCTACCGGACCCGACTCGGGGTTAGAGGGACACAGTAGGGCCTAAAGGCCCGACCTTGGGGGTACTACAGGCCGTAAAGGCGTTACCTTGGACCAGATCCGACGGGCAGGCCCAAACGGCATTACCGTTTGGGCCTGGCGGCGCTCTTGAGGCTGCCGCCCGCCGGTTGGGGCTGAACCGTCCATCTTGACGGTTCAGGGGACGGCCAGGCCTCGCAGCATTGAGGCCGGCCTCTGCCCCACCGGTACAAAGGTACCGGTCCAGCCTCATTGAGGCTATCTACCCACTGGCATTCTACTGGTGCGGTATGGTACAGCGCGATACAGCGCTGGCGCTAAGTTTAGCGCAGGAGCAGCGAGGGGCAGCGCAACGCAGTTTAGCGCAGCAGCAGCGAGCGGAGCAGCAGCAGCGGCGACTAGGTGTTTCGGCGGCCATAGTCGCCTGAGGTATTGGGAGTTGGAGGTTTCTCTCCTCACTCCCATCGCCTGTCCCCCCGCTCTCTCTCTCCTCCTCGGCTCCCTTCTTCTTCTCCTTCTTCTTCTTCTTCTTCTTCTTCTTCTTCTTCTTCTTCTTCTTCTTCA